TAAAAGTGAGATCTTTTGGTTCCTATATTTTTTATTCAGCATATAAAACTAAATTCAGAACCTTAATAAGTGCTTTTTATTGTACTTACAAATGTTATATGCCTTGGATTTGAAGCTTTAGTTGGGTAACTATCTTACACGCAGGATGAAGTGTTAGCTCTTGTCTCGACATCGTCAAGCTAATAGTTTATGCTTTTCATCCTAACCTAATTTGGGCAAAAAACTTGCAGGTGTACCAAAGCAGTTGTCATTCAGAGCAAGTACTTTTCTCACTTCCCATTTGTGGCAGCCTGCCACCATTAGATATTACTCCAAAAAACATTTGTTATCCTTTAATTCCTAGCATTCCATCTGCCTCTTCTATGGAAACAATTGTTACATAAAGCTCACATGAAGAGTTTGGTGGTCCGTTTTGGTTCTTGAATTTCCCAAATCCGAAAATTTCCAAACCTTCTTCCTTGAGTTAGGATAAAAAAGAACTTTGAAACCGAAACGTCGAACTTAACACATAAAAAGCGCCTTTTAAGACCTCTCAGGATCTGGAGGTAAACGAAGAAGAGACTGAAGCTAGGGAGCTGTGACTATTGGCTTCAAGGAGTCTCCGATAAAAGCAAATGGCTTTTGAATTTTCAGCAGCGATAATACGATTTTAAAAACGTTAGAATCATTTTAAAAGGTCGGGCCAGTTTGAACTAACAACTTGGGCGATTAAGCATGATGTTTCACTTTTGAAATCGTTTTCAATTTCCACTATAAGTCCATCTAAAAGATTTTGTTTTTCCTATGTTAACGACTGTCACAAAGCCGTTAGTGGATTTTTTGAAGTCGTCATTTTGTCATACAAGAAAAACCGTTGAACCGAGGCAGTGAGAAGGCAAGTGAGGCTTGTGGACATGAGAATTCGGTTAAGCTGCATCCGGTTCCCTGTGTAGGCGTGTGTACTTGCAGATTTAGATGTATCTGGTGTGAAAACCATGCAACCAAATGCCTGGCTGAGGAGGAAACTTGGCATGACGTGAGAATAAGTGTGAACAGTTGAGACATGCTTGAGCCAACAGAAATTAAAGTGGCCTCACATCACAAGCCTAATCCATGAGGGGTTCTGAGAATAAAGTAGATAACAGGTCATATATTTACGAACCGCATCATCTCCCATCAGATATCGTCAGTTAAACATAATAGCAGTTTCTACATCAGGCTTCGGAGTCTTGACATAGGTCAAACTAACCTTAAAGCGCATACCAACAAGGACACTTAATTGAACTGGGGATCGAAGTAAGTGTTCTCTAAAACGGCGAATGGGTTAAAATCTATTCTCAAGCACTGCAACAAACGCTAGCTTTAAAAACTAGCACAGCATTGGAGCAATAATTGTATTAATGCGTAAGCTACATAATTTACTCTGATGAGGATGTGAATGTTACAAGAAGACATCCGAAAGTGGTGGCGACGTTAGTGGATCTAGCTCCATTGGGAAATGCATCATTCGGGTAAACAAAGACAATGTTCGGAAATTACTTGGGCAGTAGGGATTATACATTGTATTAATGAGCTAAAACGATGTCTAGTCCTCTCTATGGCCGCCTGCTGTTTCAGTCAGTGTAACAAGCCTACTACAGTAAACTGAAAATATTGAAAGTCTGGTAGGCAGGCCTGGTGTAAACTCTGTACATATGAAGTTTCATTAACCTGCAAGCTCGCATCACTAGAAGTTAGTAATACAGATTTCTGCGAAATCATAAATGGGTTCATTTGGAAACAAGTGCTCACCTTTGACCTCGTTAGCATCGTACTAGTAAGCCTCACAGAATGTTCGAATGACCCACTGCGAATCCAAAAGATGCAAATCGGGCTCCATGATGCGGCTTTTAAGTGGCACGCATTTACGCTCCTCCACGTCACAGCGACTAAAACAGGACAGTCTGTCGTGACAATCGTCCCAACGTTCTTGGGTGTTGTGTATGCCCGGTCTTAAGTTGGCGTGCTGTGCAAACCCCAACCGAGTCAAAGCATCACCCCGGGATCCCCCAAAGATAGTGTCCCTAACGAAGATCTCTACCTTACTCACAATTTTGTCCAGTTTGCAACACGCTTCGGTGTTTAACGGATGAAGCAAATGCCGCGCTTTTGCTGTATTTCAGGTTATGGTTATGGTGAAACTGTGGTTCCGAAGTTTTCCTGCAATGCATTTCAATGCCTTGTGCTATCCAAAAATGCCAATGAATAAGTCTTCGTGTCTCGTTGTCTTCTTAGAAAGCTTCTTTGTACCATTTAGTAGTCACCCAAATTCAAATTCCTCAATAGTTTGATGTGTTCGGTATTGTCAGGATTTGTGAATACAGTTGTGTCAAATAAGCGCAGAAATCGGATTTACTGTGTGCGTTTGGGTGCAAGCAAAAATATTCAAATTACTAAGGCCATAAAGAAGCTAGAATGACAAAGCTCAGAACTGTTGGCAACATTTTCAGAAAACTGATATCATGAGTCAGGTGATCTACAAAAATGTATTTCGCCTCATCGGATAGCTAGTAACCTGTTGCCAAGCAGAAGATAAAAGGCAACACTCGACAGTATAGCCTTCGATACATGTTTTAAGGGACACGACGGTAAAGAACAACACCACAAGAATGGATGGCTTTGGCTCTAAGAGTGGCATAATTTGAAATTTTTATGGTAACTACCATGGGCATACAAACAGGGAGAGAGTAAAAAAATTGTCTGAACTGCCTCATGTACAACACCAAGACCAGCTCGCAGCTCAAAGGGTCACGAACGATTCGGAAGCTAGCATTTTCTACAACTTTGTTAATTTCGAAAAATGCGCTTTTACTAGAAATGCAGCCAATACGACCAACCCCTTCAACTACCCACTTTGTCGCTTTCATACCATACCGTGGACAGTTGCACATAAGATCGCCCATAAGACCATCGCAGTTGACTCTGCCAATAGCGTCACAGGAGGCGGTCTTGTGTGATTCTGTGCCAGTTACTAGCAGCATGGGACTTGTTTTGAGGTACCTCCGAAACCGATTGAGACTCTCACTAGTCCAATAAACAAGCCCGAGGAGACATGCATTAATTGTCTTTCAATAAACTTACTACCATTCCATATGTCCGCTAAAATTAATTTGCCAGCAGATGGTGAGCCATTAAATACCAGCCTAGGCCTATTTGGCTACCGTAATTCAAAGGAGTCCCAAATTTTAAAAGCAAAACAACAAATGCTCACGTTATCCTCCCCATGCAGCGACATATTCCGAAAATTTCGAAAATTGCGCTTTCGATCGCCACATTTAGTAACAGAGAAATCACATGTTTCAGCTTATAAAATTGGTTATTTTGTCAGAAATTCTTTTAATTCACACACAAAAGGGCTTGTATACTGATTGGCCACCAGCCCACAAAAAATGAAGGACCTGCTGAGTAACTAAAACACAACGACTCAATGATAAACTACTTGAAATTATGTATAAAATCGTCCTCCGTTCAGGCCAACCACGTCGATTTTCTCTTAAGTGCTAAACAGAAAAACAAGGACTTAGTTCCGACTTCCAGTAACCTGCAAAACGCAAAGGTTACATGCAAATGTAGACGGCGTTTTACACTCACAGCCAAGCACTCACTCCAAACGCGAATGAGACAAAATCCCTTGCTCCTTTCGCTAGTGAGAAGTGCCGACTTTACACAAACACGCAAGAAGAGTATCTATCAAGGAATCGCCCATTCAATGCGCCTCCAAAACCTCCATTCGACCGCTGTCTTAGTAACCCTTTTGTGCAAAAACGTTAGTTTTAATGCCTAATTTTGGCTTGACTAAAACTGGCAGCAGCCTAGCTTGGGCGATTCAGGTTCGAGGTTTCAAAGTACTTCATTCTAGTCTTATTCTACAGGATTCCAATGAATTCATTTATTTAGAATAAAACAGACCATACTTGGTCATTCAGGTTTTGTAATAATTAACTCGACCTTTCGTAATTGGCATTAAATACATGCTCAGATACCCTCGACAGATTCGTTAATTTGAAACGAAATGCAACACTACACCGTTTGCAATCCGTGGCTGCGAATTTATTGTTTTTGTGCTTACGAGCCTCGATTGATTGCAACAGATCTAAAAGATCCTCAGCGGAGCCCAACAAAGTGATCAGTGAGCATAAGTCAACTACTGCATTCCAGTAGCGGTCATCGCTAATGTCCACAACGACCTTAGAAGCACTGCAGCACATTTTACAGCTCCTTAAACAGCGTGGTTGAGGCAAAGCATTCAGTGTTAAAGGGAATAAAGTATCATAACAGCAAAAAGTGAGTAAAGAGACGCATAAAAGTGGGTAACGACCTCAACCAGAAGCAACCACTAACCCCAACCCATAAAAACACTAAAAAGCCGCTCCATTTGACCTAATGCCTCAGGTGGCTGCGGTGAAAAAGGGTGGCAAGTGGAAAGTAGCATAAGTGCATAACCCTAAACTTCCCATCCCTAGTTTCTTTCAATTTAGATAAAAATCAATCGCTTTCGACGCAGTAACCACCAAAGCATGCGCGAAGTAAAGCCATCCCGACAGAAACTACGAGCAATTCTTGCTCAGGTAACGCGGATCTGCAGCACGATCTAGTTTGTTTGCTCCTCATGATCGTAGTGAGCAGCGAATGCTCAACTACCGGGATTTTAAACTCGTCTACGTCGACTTCATCCGCTCCCTTCCCAGCTTCTGATGGGCAGGCACCTCGGTGTTCAGAGAACCACAGTTCTGACCGACTAAAACATTATTGTCACCGAATGATGAAACTTTTCAAAGCGTCTTTACGACATAACCCGACCTTTACGTAATTTGTAAGCATGGAAAATGATGCAAACCCAAGCAGAAATTCCCCTTTGTCAACAAATAAGTATCCTAAATATGGAAAAAAATTTATGTGTTTTACCAGATATACAAATTGACGCGCTGCTTCTATAAGTACAGCAGCACTGCTACTCTACGAAATAAACAGACTAAGAGAATCTAATCGGCATCTTCACCGTCGATGTCGACGAAGTCTTCAAAGGCAGTTGCTGTCGGTCCGCTTGCGCCGTCTGCCATCTCCTCTTCGAAGCCGATAATCCCCGAGCCGACGGCAAACACCGTGGACACCGCCAAGACGAGCGCACAAAACACCAGTCCGTCGCGCAGGGGCAGCAGCGAGGACGGCACAACAGCGGACGAGGAGAACTTAAAGAGGGAGGAGAACCACCCACCGGCCTTATCTGTCGCTTGAACTTCACGAAGATCAGAAGCGGGTGCTGAAAGTCGACGTAAAATGAGCAAGTGGACGAGGCACGGAATAAAGTTCAAAAATAAATAAAAACAATTTGATTAAACACCGCGAATGTACAGAGGTAGTCGGGACCGGAAGTTATGCACGTGTCCTTTCCCGTTAGTTCTTTGAGTTCAATAGATCCTACCAAACTTGGAAGTTAGAACCCTGAATTCAACGGCTCCCGGACCGCGACTTCAATTAATAATGAATGTCAAAATAAAAACTACTATTTTGCTTTAAGTAGAAGAAATTAGAATAGGGGAGGCACTCACAGGTCAGGAAAGAATCAGCCCCGGATGGGAAGCAGAGGCGCTGGACGCGTCGACAGAGCAAGAAGAGATTTTCGCATTGATAGACGTGCGAAATCAACCGATGGATATTTGAATTCTGTTTTCGACAAAGCCGATCGTAGTTCAAGAGGGGCCACAGTCGACCAAATACATACGCGTCGATGGCCGATGGACTACAAGGACACAATTATTAAGTAGTTCTTTCGCCTAACATCAAAGGCAGTTTAAAATAATTAGGCTAAAAACACAAAAGTAACAGAATAGGCCTCGACTTGACTATACATATTGAATAGAAGTATGTGAAAAAAATATCATCTAGTCGTAAACTGGCTTCTTATAATCACAGTAGTTCTGTGTAAAAAGCATTCATAAAAGCTACTTGTAGAGACCACAGGTATAACTTAGTTAAACTTTATAATGGAGATCTACAAAGCAAACATACGAATTTTTTCAAGCAACACAAAAAATTCACAAAGTAAATAAAAAACGAACATTTTCCAAATCATCAATAGGGCAGTGCATATCACTCTACTAGATTCAAACGCCTCAAGCGGAATGGGAGAATGTGCCCAAAACATTTAACCAAGGCTCAATTATTGATATGTTTGGAACTACGCTTTCAAATATTGAGTTTTACTACATTTGCCTCACCAGTACGATCGCTCTATCACGCAGTGCGCAACCATGTATTGCAAATCTAGTCTCCAGTGCTTAAATGTGCATAACTGTTGGATCCTTATACATCCACAGTTAAACGGACTTTTGGTGTTTCAGGGCACGAGTAATCCGAACAATTGCCAAGAGAAGGCAATCGTTTAATAAGGGAAAATGAGGAGAGGCCCCATGGTTCAGTCAGCAAAAGAAAAAACGTTTTATTAAAGAATGCGACTTACCGCTCACCAAAAAAGAATGGCTTCTTCCCAAGCACGTAGGATAAGGCAGTGAGACATCTTCGAGCGCCCTCGAAGAGCTTCAAGAACAAAACGCAGCCTCAGTAAAGTACCTCATGGACATAAAACAGCGTAAAGAGTAAAACTTACTGATGACTCAACCTCTTTATACCGATTTTTTGAATTGGATTTCGAGCAAAGCGATAGCTGAGAAAATTCTGTGTTCTCGATAATCCGTTTCCTCCAACACCTCAATAACCAGAGCCCGTAAAAATAAGGTAACTTTGAACGGTAGAGAAGGGAAGTATACGAATTATATACATTAGTATCAGCCCAAAGAAGCCAACGGAATGCTGGAGTTATGCGCCTTTCCAGAGATGTCACTAGGGAATCTAACCGAGCCAATTCCTCATCAGAAAGTTCATACTCTAGGCCGTAATTCTGATCAAATAAGCGATAGGACTGCTTGCCTCTTTTCGAAGGTATTCAATAATTTTGTGGACAGTGGTAACTTCGTTGCTACCGTGAACTAAAAGAGGGATACTATTCATGTCGGACTTCTGAGGAGGTGAAGAGAATAGATTGATAGGGCACTTCCCTAGACGTAAATACGTCTAAACATATGGGATAAAATATTTTTTTTATTACAATAATGACGAGACAATCACTGTCAAATGAGTCAATGCCGCTGCTTCCAGGCCAAATATGCAGATCCATTCGGTAAAAAGCGACCAAACGGGTGTGGCTGCGGGGCAGTGGTGTGTGGTGTTGTGGTGTGGTGTGGCGTCGGATTAGGGCGCAGACATGTCGGACCACCTGGCCTCAGCCAATCCTGTGTCTCTCTGCAATCCAATGGCATGCGGGTAAGGAAGGCAGCCAACCAGAGAAGGACACGACTGAGGAGCAGTATATAATGAGCGGCGTGGCCAGCGCGGTGGACTCGGA